GTTAGTCTAAACCTAAAGTTAGTCGAAATTCTTTTTTTTTTCACCAAGTCAATTCTATGCCAGGGTGGGTCCTGTGCCAGGGTAGGTCTTGCGCCCATTTCACCAAGTCGCGGTTCAACGCTCCTCCCGTCACTTATATTGTTATAAAGCGAGTGAATAGACCAAGTTCCACCAAATACGTCAAACAGCACCTCGATAAGGCCGACGCCGTCCTTGAAAAGATAGCTGCCGCTGTCTGTCACTTGTGAGAGTTACCCTTGCCGAATCAGCCTCGATCAGACCGTTGCAAGGCTAGAAAGCCAACGACTAGTTCTGCTCCGATTGTAGTGCCGACTAGACCTTTAATAACGTCGACAAACTCGAGGCTGAATCAACAACAAGCTGACAGACGCGGGAGCGAAGGAACGAGTCAACCTAAAGCCATTTCCGCGTCACATTTGCCATTGTAACCTCGCGCAGCATAACATTATCTATGGCGACCTGGTGACCAATTTTTGACTAGGGCATGTCGGGAATTTACCCCCGTATTTTTGACGAATTTGCGCTGGTCCGTCAATTTAATACTAAGCAAGCCAAATTTGCCAAGCAACTTCACAGGCAGCTTTTTAGAGACAAACTTCCCGCCCTTCTCCAACCCCTAATGAAGGTATCCAAGATCAACGCCTTTGGCTCCTAAAAGCCAGTCAGCTTCGCAGTCAACAATCAAGTTTAACACAGATTCTACCATCGTTAAGCCTCTGCCATGTTCCAGATCTCTTTCGTTACGCCAGGAAACAAAAGTTTAGGTTTACGTGAACCGAGGTCGGCAAGAACACAAATCCAGTGGGGTAGCGTTTGATATCAGGGGGATGATTGCGCGAGGAGGGTGTTTCATAGACGGAGCCCCCGTACCCGGATTTTAGTCTCTGAGAGCCCTTGACGAGAATATCGACGCACTAGTATCTGCATTCTAGGCGGATGGGTTGGATATCAGGTTTTAGCGTGTCAAGGGAGACAATCTTACTGTGGCCATACTAGGTTGCCACGAAGCTCTAAGCAGTCGCTCTTAGCCGTGACGGTGAAGCTCTCGCCCCTCCCCGTCTCAATAACATCGAAGCGCAGTCTTCAGCGTTACAGCCTCCAGTGATATAGATTGAGGTATTTAGCCATAGCCACAGCCAAACAAGCCGCGCCAAGAACTTGATTGTTAAAGTCACACCATGTGAGGGAATCAGGTTGGTTAATTGACTAGCCAAACCTAGGCCTTATTGAATACAAGAAGGATCCCTTAAAGAAGGAAAAGAAGGAAGAAGTGCGGCGCGCTTCTTACGCGTTTTTATGGACCCCGATCTGTAGGCGACGGGGCCGCGAAGCGGTCCCGGCGGTCCTCGCGGTGGATTTATTTTCCAGCCTCCGTTCGGTTTCCGAGCGGTCTTCGGTTCCCGGGGGTCCCTGACCGGGGTGGTCCCCGAGGGCCCCTGCCCGAGGTCCCCACACGGGTGTAACCCGTCACACACCAAGGTACATTTTTCCAACTGTTATACATGTATCTTGTACCCAAGATCCGTTTCCAGATCCAAGCCGACAACGCTCCAGCTCAAGCCTTTAATTCTTCGCCTAACATGGGCTTGGAGTTCACACTTTGGTTCTCTGCCACTAGGCTGGACATGCCAACCCTCAGGTAGCGAGTGAGATTTGAACCGGTAGGCTATTTCGTATGCCTTGGATAAGCTGAGACTAGAAAACGGTCAGAGCGGCCAAGGATAGAAGGCCTTGGAGAGGTGCATTTGGCGGGAGAGACGCATGTTGCGACCATTACAACGGATTGGTCATAGTCGACGAGGACATTCTCGTATACCATTCCTCCTTTGAGCCTCGCGGCACAGACATCGTGCGCGGGTTTACCACGCCGGCCGCCATGATCTGTAGCTATGTTAACGCGAACAGGAAGCGGCCTTGCCCAGGAACGACGACTCGACCATGGGAGACGCTACGCCGTGGACCGACGCCTCACACGTCGCTTGGCAACAGCACCTCGAGCGGCACCAAGACGACGTGTCACGGGATTCGACAACCTTTGCAGCCTCCGTCCTTGACTAACCGACGGCCTCCGGGTCCTCATTGACGACTCCGTGATGCTCCTTGACGTCGGAGACTAGGATAATTAAATGCCCAAGGATAGGCCTCCTTAGCAACCCCTTGTCACACACAACCCTTCTTCTAAGCTTTTATTTTGAATAATAATTATGGCTTTCACACGCAACGCGCCCATAGCACTCTTTTTACCTTAGTTATTTCTTATAGTTTACGCAATAACACTTGATTTACTGCATTCTATTCCTTCCTTGCGCCTTTAATTCAATTGATTACGCTGCTGGCGTTTTCCTACCTTTATGTCATTGGAAGGAGCTCATGATAGCGAGACGCATCAGGCTGATTAGGTCCTTCTAATCGGCCATGTGCGCTAAAGGCAAGGAAAGAGGCACAATTCTATCTACTTGCCAGCCAATCACGTGTGCGCTGCTGGCTAAGGCGTACGCCTTTAGCTACAGTACCATACGTAGAGAGGTAGGTATGTAGGTTGGTGGTTTTGTGTCTCTCCTCCTCATTAGCCCTTGTTAAATATAGTCTATTGTAGACGTTGGAGTATCTAAGTTGACAGGGAACGGTAGCTCAAAACTATCCATAGGGCCAAAAAGTGGATCAAAAGGCAACTCAAACTCTAGCCCACCACGTTCGTTGAGGGCATTCGACCCCTCTGGCTCTTCAGGGACGTTGCTTGCAGGGAACGTATTGAAAATCGCATCGAGGCTAAGGTCACCGCTTGCGACAGAATGACTGACCTGCAAGGTCTTGTCTAAAGCAATGAAGCGAAGGAGTCAACACCTCGCCAAGAACAACAAATGGAGAGGAAGGGAATAATTGAGACTCTAGACCTACCAGTCCTTAAATCCAAACCATTTACCTTGATAAGACGACGAATAATGCCAGCTGGCTTAGCAAGGCCAGGATTTGCCTCACACAACTCATCAAGCAACCTCAGGCTAGAAACCAGCAGTGTCCCGTGCTCATAGCTACCACTCTGGCCCTGCCCGGCGGCGGCGGCGGCGTTGCGCACGTGGATAGTGCAGGCCACATAGGCCGCGTAACCGAGGACATACGGCGCGCCGGCAAGGCCGTAGGTGGCACGGTACGCCGTAGAAATGCTAGTGATGCAGCGAGCGGCGCCGCTGCACCGGTCCCAGCAGGAGGAGTGCACGGGCGCGTTAGCCAGGCGCAGGTGGCCGTCCGAGATGAAGGGCCGGTGCAGCAGGATGACGAGCGCGTGGTAGATAGAGTGCAGAACCATGAGGTTGGGCGGCGGGGGCGGCTGCGCGGATCGCGGCAGCGACTCCCAGGGTCGGAAGTCGAGCTCCGGCGAGAGATTCTCCTTCCATTGCGTGAGGGCGCGGTTCACCGCCTCGAGACTCCTCCTCGCGTTGGATAAGGTGGCGCCGATGACGTAGAAGCGGTCGATAATAGTGGTCATAATCTTGGAGAGCTGGCATAGCTGCTGAAATGTCGAGACAGAGCTGATCGGTACCGGGGTTGGGGCCGCCATGTGGGTCGTCGGACGTGGTGTGGGCGGAGCGAGATGAGCAGGGTGGTCAGGTGGGTGGCAATAGATCTCATTCTCCTCGTAGGTGTCAAGTAGCTGCGTTGATACACGGGAGTCGCGTATGTTGATGGCCACCGGCCGTCCTAGGTAGAGGCTCTGCAGCTTGTCGCATATGAAAGCGCCCCAGAAGACGCGTCGCCGGATCTCCACCCCTTCAGCATCGCCAGTGGTCTCCTCGGGGTCCAGGTGTAGGCCCTGGTCATACACCATGCGCAGAGCATAGCCTGTGTAGAGCCATCCCTTCGATGTCTCGCCGATGGAGTTGTATGTCGAACCTAGCAGGAGCAGGCCGACAATCGTTGGGATCGTCGGCCGGATGAGCAGCGACTCCTTGGCCAGTAGCTCATCACAACGGCGGAAGAAGCGGGCGCCCGCCGTTTTGGGGTCGTCAGGATTGCCACGGAGGTAAATGAGGCCCGAATACTTGGCTGAGCAGGCAAAGATGGCGTTCAGGAGGAAGTTGGAACAATGGGGTCCATAAACATTGGGCCCGCCGCCGCTCTGCAGATCCCGCATAATGGCAGGGCGGTAGGTGAGGAGGAAGGTGTGGTGTTGGCGCGTCCAATGCAGATTCAGGAGATGGAGGGCAACGCTTATGTGTGTGCCGTCGATGGACGACAGCTGGGCTAGGCGGTGCTCGAGCTGGCGCTGGAGGGCGGCCTGGGCAATGAGGGCGTTGCGGACGCCCTCGCGGTCGGCGACGGGCTGGCACGAGGGCGAATTGACAGCGCCCGCCCCGCTCCTGGCACGATAGTGGAGTGCCGACGAGGGCCCAAAGCTGCGGGCCTTGCCTATCTCGTCGACCGAGATGAAGTTGGCAATGTCGAGCTCCTCATCGTCCGATGGGCCGAGCAGGTCGTCCTCGTACCGGCTCGGGCCCGGCGCGGCTTTGTCCTTGTCTTTAACATGCTCGTCAGAGATAGAGATAGCGACGGATGCGGCGACCGAAGGAACAGGGCTGGAGATGCTCTCGGCAGGTCCGGGCGGGGAACGGACGTGGACATTCCCATGCTCATCCACGACAGCGCCAAGGAGAGACGAGCGTTCCTCAGGGGTGCTGCTGGATTTGAGCTGGCGAACGAAGGCTTGGAGAGCTGCGTTTTCCCGCTGAAGCTTGTGGATCTGCGAGAAGGTTGGCCTAAAGCAAAACGGTTAGCAGGCTTCAGAACGACAGGGGACGGTGGGTAGTGGAAAGGGACGTCCTGACCGTTTGCGTGGAGCCTCAATCCGGTAGACGCATTCCCGGTCCTGGCTGAGGCAGGCGGAACACCGCGGTTGCGAGGCGTCGCAGCGAATCTTCTTGGTTCGACAGGAGAGACATGCTTTAGCTAAACTCTTGGGTCGCGAGGGCTGCGAGTGGTGATTGTCTTTCGGGGAGGGCATGACGGCGAGCCCCGGCCTTTCTTCCCCCTCTCACAGCTGATTTATTTTGGGTCTGTTTGTCGATAATGGAGAGGAGGGCAAACAAGGCTCGGCGAGGAGGTCTAAACACTGTGAATCGATAGTCCTACCTCATCTTTGGTGGTAACTTGTTCGGTAATAAGGTGCAGAAGCCGAAGATGTGGAGCTTGCGTTTGCCGTTGTGCGGGGTTAGGTAGTTTCTCGTTAACGCTTTCCAAAGCCCCTGCAAGGGAGCTCGATCCTTTTGATTTGGCAGAGGCCGTCTACACAGTATTCAATCGATGCAAATTTGATCCGGGACAAGGATTTGATTATATTCATATTTGCCACGCAAGATTTCGCTAGCCGCGACCTCTTATCAGTTTATCATCCTCGTCCACCACCTGACCCCCTTTGTGCCGTTCAAGGCCGTTCGAGCCCGCGCAGTATTTGAGTCATTTTCTCGTACCTAGATTTGGTTAGGAATGGGCTGAGAAATCTACTCATTTTGAGAGCGTCACTTACACAGTAAAGACGATAGCACCGCTCAGCGACAGGCGGCCTAGTCGAGGTACCGTGCCGGACCAGAAGGTCGGCACACCTTCGTTTTTGAAGATGCTGACCGCGCAGGCGACGCTGTTCTTGTAGTTTTTGCTAGCCTCGAGGCTTTGCATTCGCGTCTTGATGACGTCCAAGGGCATGGTTGCGTATCTAATGGCAACCCCAGCATGAGTCTGCTGGGCGTCGGAACACAAATGGCGGCACACTTACACGGTAATGATTCCCGCGAGCCCGCCAGCGACAAAGGTCCCAACTGCCCCCGTCTTGCCCGTATCCGACATCTTCCCCAGCTGCGCCTTGATGATTCCGTAGGACGTAAAGCGCACCATGCTGTTGGCAGCCTGCCGGGCTGTCGACGGGACAAATCCCTGGAAAAAGCCACGAATTCCCTTCTCGCGCGCGATGACGGCCGAGCCGTGCAGGAAGCCCCGCATCCGGGGCTGGCCTCGCTTCTTGTCGTCGATCAGCTGCGTCTTGATGCTTTCAAAGGGAGTCACTGCCAGCGTGGACTCGACAACGCCGGCGGCTAGGCCGGCTATGGCCGTGCGGGTACCGCTGAGGTTGCCTGATTCATCGGCTAGCAGATGCTTGAAGCCGTCGAAGACAACGAAGCCTTGAATGCATCATGGACATGTGAGCCTAATGGCACTGTTCTCGAGACTAGTGAGGACATGCCGGGGGAATAACTAACGTGTGGAGGCTTTGAGCGCGTTACCGAGGATCAGGGTGGTGCATCCCGTATACCATGCCTTAGATGGGAATGGCGGCCATGGAAGCTTCTTGGAGTCGGGGAGATGTCGGTTGAGCTGAGACCTTGTCTTTGCAAACTCAAATGGATATGTAATTGCTGTCTTGTCGTGAGCACTAGTAGCCCAAAAGGCCGTGGGAATGGGACATCTGTTGCTTACCAATTTCGACCGCCCCAGCTGTTGACCCTGCCACAATGGACACGGCTATCTGGGTTAGCTGAGTATTGTAGCAAGTATGAATGGAATGCGGATCTAGTCGCCTGTTACGTACCTCTTGCTTCTTGGGTGTCCCTGATGTCATTGCTATCCTTCCAAGCCCCAAATATCGCGCTTAGGTTAGGAGCTTGACAATATTATTTTTCGTGCAGCTCTACTTTTCCATAACCATCGAATAAAAAGAGAGAGGGAAAAGAAGGGAAGCTAATATAAGAGCGTAGAAAGGACAGAGACCTAGACATGCAGTCGTACGCAGCAACCAGGTTCTCATTCTTCGACGCCCAAACGTAGCCCGTAGCCGTCGCTCTACCGGCTAGAGTAAAAGGATTTCTCCATGCGGCTCACACGCCATATTGCCAGGCGTTACGACAAAGAGCACTGATGAGACTAGGAGGCAACCATACAAATAATCGGCCATTTAATGTCCGGCCGAGAAGCCGGCGCAGTGGCTGGCAGCTAATCAGTAACAGTGGGGACAGAGGGACCCAAAAGCGCTGATCCACTGCGCCGGAGTATGAGTCTCCGGAACTACAGCGACGCCGACTAGTTGGATCCGCCTCACTGTCTCTAGTCACTGTGCTTCTTTGGGAAACGCCGGGAGGAGATAAATTTGATCTATTCCATCTGACTCATGACGATATGACATGTAGAACATCAACCCGAATTCACACCCCTACTGCTTTCCCCAGAACTCCTCCACCATGGACATCCCCGCGAGCTGCGACGTCATCGTCGTCGGCAGCGGCAATGCGGGGTTCTCCGCCGCCATCTCGGCCGCACAATCCGGCGCCCGCCGCGTTCTGCTCATCGACAAGTGCCCCGAGGACTGGGCCGGCGGCAACAGCTACTTCACGGCGGGCGCCTACCGGACCGTCCACCAGGGCCTGCCCGACCTGCTCCCTATTGTCAACAACGTTAGCCAAGAGCAGGCTAGCAAGATCGAGCTGAGCCCCTACACTGCGCAGGACTTCCACAACGACCTCAAGAACATCTGCGTTGGACGCTCTGATCCAGAGCTTGCGCATGCGCTGGTCTCCGAGTCCAACGACACTATCAAGTGGCTCGCCAAGAACGGCGTCCGCTTCCAGCTCTCCTTTAATCGCCAGGCCTACGAGGTCGACGGCAAGATCAAGTTCTGGGGCGGGCTCTCGCTCAAGACCCAGGACGGCGGCAAGGGCCTCATCGCAGACCACCTCGCCGCCGCCCGGCGCCACAGCGTCAAGGTCCTCTGGTCGACAGCCCTGGTCGGCATCGCGCCACCGAACCATCCAGGCGGCGACGTCGTGGTCACCGTCCGCCTCGACGGCGCCACAAGCACCATCTCCGCCAGGGGCGTCGTCCTGGCTGCTGGCGGGTTCGAGTCCAACGCGCGGATGCGGAGCCAGTTCCTTGGCCCCGGCTGGGACATGGCCATGGTGCGGGGCACGCCGTACAACACAGGCGAGTGTTTCGAGATGGCCATCCAGAGCCTCGACGCGCAGCCCGTCGGCAACTGGTCTGGCTGCCACGCCGTGGCCTGGGACGCCAACGCCGACCCCAACACGGGCGACCGTGTGGCCTCCAACGAGTACACCAAGTCGGGCTACCCGCTTGGCCTCATGCTCAACGTTGAGGGCAAGCGCTTTGTTGACGAAGGTGTCGACCTACGCAACTACACCTACGCCAAGTTCGGCAGGGCCATCCTCTACCAGCCCGAGCAGACGGTCTTCCAGGTATGGGACGCCCAGACCACCCCGTGGCTCCGCTCCGAGGAGTATCGGGAGGAGAGGGTGGAACGCATCACGGCAGACACCCTGGAGGAGCTTGCCGACAAGTGCCAGGCACGGGGTCTGCGTGAGCGGGACGCTTTTGTCCAGACCATCCGCGAGTATAACGAGGCTGTCCATGCCCACCGGCACGAGCACGCCCACGAGCAACTCAAATGGGACCCCGCCATCAAGGACGGACTCTCGACGCAGTCTTCGTCCAAGCAGCTAGTGCTGCCCAAGTCCAACTGGGCCCTGCCACTGGACCAGGGGCCGTTCCTTGCCGTCAAGGTGACATGCGGCATCACCTTTACCTTTGGGGGTCTCAAGGTTGACCCGCAGACAGCGCAGCTCATCGGTGCGTCAACGGGCCAGCCAGTGCCGGGTGTCTACTGCGTCGGCGAGATGCTGGGGGGACTCTTTTACCAGAATTATCCCGGTGGAAGCGGCCTGACCTCTGGCGCCGTCTTTGGCAGGAGAGCTGGTCGGGCTGCGGCGCAGAGGGCCGCCACCACGGAAAAGGACTCACGTGTCATCCCGGCGCTGCCAAGAAAGCTGTGAAAAGGGGGGGGATTCACTGGTTTGCATGCTGTTCGCAATGAACCGAAGCCACCCATTCAGACCAATTAGAGCAAACAACTTCAGTAGCATAACAAGAACGCCGAAGAAGGTTATAGACTACATATCTTAGGCAATCATCATTAACCAACCTAAAAGTCAAATAGATAAAGGAAGGGCAGCAAAACGTGCAAAACGTGAAATCCGATCTACCCAGAGGGCTTCGTCACTGGCCGGACGAGAGTCAATGGCAAGGAGAAAGGAAGAACCCGTCATACAAGACGATACAATTAGGGCAGTAAGGCTGTACTCCAATAACTGCTATGAATGGGGAGTGAAATCCAAGAACACGAACATGCCACAAAACTGTTCTCGGCATCAATGTGCGAGCGATTAGAAAGCCGCAAGCACTTTTAGGTAGACATCGCCTATCTTAACAGTATTAGAACGGTTCTCGTCACCAGCAAACACATGCTAATCTCAACATCGAACCGAGGATAGCGGTTGTGACTGGCAATAAACGGATCTGTAGATGTAGTGTACATTGATGGCCTTGCATGCAGCCTATGGGCAACAGAACCAAGAAGATCCCAGCGACTTGATGCCTAATTACTCATGTATTTACCTATAGATGGTGAAAAATCTTAGAAGCTCAAGATCTTAGCTATTCACAGCCGCTGACAAGTGAGACGAACCATGTCAAATGATAAGGAGGACATAAAAGCATACGTTGATTTGGTATTGTACCTAAGCAGGTGAAGGTACAAAGTCAACGTATGCCGATTTTTTACTTCATCATACCTAGCCGGCTAGAACCAGGCCGGGCATATTGAAGCCTCAGCCAGATCTCAACAGGTACCATGTGGCCGGTTATCTATATAAAGTTAGGGTCACCATCCAGAACCGGGTTCGGTAACGCCGTATTGGAAGTCTGGTCGGAGGGTTGCCGAGAAAAATCTAGGGAACTGGGACCTTGTGGAGTAAGTACCCTAGACTGTCGGGGGGAGACATCGCGGGGGAAGGGGGCTAATCAATGGGCATCGCGTCGAGATGATTTCTCTCTAACCTACCTTAGATAGCCTACCTTTTTAGCCTACTCCACAGACAAGGCTAGGGCGCAGTTGAACAAGCGGCCCTTGGGAACCCCGGATCTTGGCGAAAGCTTTGCCGGGAAAGGCTGCGCACTATTTATTGACATATTAATACTTGGACAACTCCCTCAACTTCAAATTCTCAGTCAAGCCATCAACTTCTGCGAGACTTAACAGTCACTGCAAAAGTCTGGCACCCTCTTCCCTTTCTCTCACATTCCTTCACCACCAACAGCCGTTTTGTCGTCATGACTACTAATGACATCAAGCCAGCCGAGCCCCTCGAGATCGAGGATGCGCCGGTCAAGCCTCCCCCGGCGGTCGACATCGACCGCATGCTAGTCGACGACGACCGCGCCCCCGAGGCTCGCGGCGCCATCGCCTACGCCATCCCAAAGAGCTACTGGTACAGCTGGGAGTTCATCGGCACGTTCGCCGCCATCATCATGGCCAAGGATGCCGGCAGCGGCGGCTTCAGCCTGGCCGCACCCGTCTTGGCCAGCATCAACCAGGAGATCGGCCCGGACCCGGACATCACCTGGGTCTCGCTGTCGTGGACGCTGACGCAGGGCATCTCGACCCTGGTCGTGGGGCGCATGTCGGACGTCTTTGGCCGCCGCTGGATCTTCATCGTCGCCTCGCTACTCGGCACCGCGGGCGCCATCTGGGCGTCGCAGGCCCAGTCCGTCAACCAGCTCATCGGCGCCACCGTCATGCTGGGGCTCGCGGGCGGCGTGCAGATCAGCTACTTCTGGATCATCAGCGAGATTGTGCCCATGCGCTGGCGCTTCGCCGCCAACGCCACCATCTACATGTTCAGCTTCACCAGCTGGCTCGGCCCAAAGATCTCGTACGACTTCTTTACCAAAACGGCGGTTGGCTGGCGCGGGGCCTACTACCTGCTCGTCGCCCTCAACGGCCTCTCCACCCTCCTCTTCTACTTCTGCTATCACCCGCCCACCTTCAAGATGCTGCACCGCCGCACCGCTCTGTTCCACCTCCTCAAGACGTTTGACTGGGCCGGCCTCGTCCTGTACACGGCGAGCTTCACGTGCTTCCTGATCGGTCTGAACTGGGGCGGCGGGCGCTTCCCATGGGCCAGCGCGGAGGTGCTGGGGACCATGATCAGCGGGCTCGGAGGCCTGGCAATCTTCGTCGCGTACGAGATCTGGCTACCTCGCCAGTTCAAAAGCATCACCCCCTTTGTCGAGATGCACTTCTTCACCAACATCCCCCTCCTCGCCATCACGGGCATGACGTGCGTCGCCGGATCCTCGTACTACGGCCTCGCATCCGTGTGGCCCAACCTCGTCAACAACGTCTGGACGGGCCTCGGCCAGGGGCGGACGGGCGACATGCTAAGCCTCTTCGTGCTTACCTACGTCTGGGCCCAGGTCGTCGGCGGCTTCATTGCCCACTTCGCCGGCGCCAAGAAGCCCATCGTCATCTCCATGTTCCTCGCGGCGCCGCTGCTCGGCTGCCTAGCCATCGACCCGTTCAACATGACGCTTACCAGCGTGCTGATGGGCGTTGGCAGCTTCGCCCTGGGAATCATGGAGGGCGTCGCCCTGACCGCCACCACGTACCCGCTAAGGTCGCAGGACGAGATTGGCAGCGCCGGCGGCGTCACGGGTACCATCCGCCTGTTTGTGTCCACCGTCGCGACGGCCGTCTACAACACGGTCCTCCGAAACCGGCTGAACAGCACCATCCCCGGCAACGTCGGGCCCGCCGCCGTCGCGGCCGGCCTGCCCGAGTCGTCCGTCGCCAAGTTGGTTGCGGTTCTCAGGGGCGGGTTGCCTCTGGACGACAACAGCGTTCCGGGACTCACCGCCGCGGTCGAGCAGGCGGCGAGGTTCGCGTACCGTGTTGCGTATGCGAAGGCGTATAGCACTCTTTTCCTGGTCTGTATCGCGTTTACGGTTCCGGGGTGTCTGCTCTGTTGGTTCGTTGTCGAGCCGGACAAGAAGAAGGAGGCGTTTATCGCTGGTCATTTGCACAAGCGGACCGATGAGAAGAGGTTGGAGCAGGACGACAACTAAACTACTGTGGCTAGGTTGCGGGTATCTAGGGGGGGAGCTTCGCTTTCCGTAAGGAGGTCCTTTTCCCGTGCAAAGTGCTTTCCTGCCTTCTCACTCTTGTGTATGGGTATTTTGTTTCACCCACTTTATCTTTCTTTTCTCGGCTTGCACGAAATGACTCGAGGTTCTTACTTGCCTACCTTCACCCACGTAAATACCGGAATTGAGAAGATTGCGTGACAAAATATGATCCCATCCTAACCAAGTAGCCTCCCAAACCCCTATTTAAATTAAATATACAGCACTCATCCAATCACGCCGAAAACGACAAACCCCCCCTCCCCCCCAAGTGTGATACAAGCCTCGCTCACCACTCTTTTTTTTTCACTCAAAGACTCAACATGCCAAACGAGTAATCACTTGGAAGCGCCAAAAACTCCTGCAGGTTCCCGGAGATATCCAGCGGCCAATCCAGCTCTGGCAAAGGCACAGCCAGATTCCGCGCCAGCACTGCGCCAATGAGCGGGCTCGTCTGCTCCGTCACGAAGGGGAACGCATCCATCCAGTCGGCGTTCTCGTCGTCGTCACCGTCATCGTCGTCAATCACACCCAGCATCTCGGCGTCCTCGACGCCGTGGCGGGCCCCATCGGATCCCGTCTCGACCGCATTGTCATTGGCGTTAGTATTGCTGTTGTCATTCTGCTGCTGGGTATGGCGGCCGGCTGACGCCGACGGTGCCGGAGCCGCGGCCGGCTGGTCGTCAACCGCAGACAGCTTATCAATAGCGGCGGCGAACATGCGCGACGACGGCCACATCAGTGCCATCTGGCGCAGGGCGGTGCGCAGGGTGCGGATGTCGGCGTCGGCGTGTGCGCGCAGGTCCTCAATGCGGCGGGCGTGCAGCAGCGCCAGGAGCGCCACGGCGATCTCCCAGCCGGCCTCGCCCGAGAGGAAGCGGACGTTGCCGCGCGTCAGGAAGTCCTCAAACAGGCGCGCCACGCACGAGGCCGCGACGATGGCCGCCTTAGAGGCCTTGGGTAGCAGCAGTTGCGACGACTTGCTCAGGTGCAGTAGCGTCACGTTGGTTAGGTAGGTGACGTGCAGGCGGTGCACGTCGCGGTCGAATGAGGTGGTGCGGCCGGTGCGGATGGAGAGCGAGAGCGATGTGGGTAGCGACTGGACCCACGAGGTGAGTTCGCGAGAGAAGCTTGCTGTGTTGGTGCAGTCCTCGATCTTCTTGTTGAGCTGCTTGCTGATGCGCCCGCTGATGCCCAGCAGCTCGACCCAGTTGATAAAGATGTGCACCTTGGGGTCGGAGGGGTCGGGGAAATCCTCGGGGGTGACCATTCGGACGTCGCAATAGTCTAGGTCGATGATGGTTGGCCTACCTTGTGAGACGGAGAGAATGCGATCCCTCGCCTTGGAATCTAGGAGTTAGCTGGAGCTTCCATCCACGGGCGGGGGGGTGGGGGGGGGGGGGAAGGAAAAAAGGAAGGGGACTTGCGATGGCTTACAAACAAAGTCCACCATATCCTACGTCGAAGTCCCACAGTCTCCCAAGGTTGGGCCAGCTGGCGAGGCTGCGGCTCTCGGTTCAGTCCACACTCCTGCGCGACGCGTATGGCAATGCCCGTCCACCACCAGGCGTTGTCCATGTTGAGCTGGTTCGGGGCGCCGGTACTCCACCAGAAGAACAACATAATGGACGCCAGTCGGACCAAGGCGTTGCCTTCATAGTTGTTGTAAAACAACTCCTTGGCTCGGTTGTAGTAGACCATGGAATCCCTATACTGGATCAAGGGCGGGTTGATGCGAGTCCCACAGAGGGCAAGGGTATGCTGAAGGAGTGGTGACTCGTCGGCGCCCCCATGGCCGTGGAAGAAATCACGATCGAGCACGGGACACCACACATAGCAGTACTCGAGGTAGGACTCTATGAAGCCCTCTTGGAGGGCAGGCGATATGGTTTCGACGCCGCTTAGCAACTGGCCCTGCTGGACCTTGTCCTGATCGACAATATTGTCGCGGCTGAAGATTGTCATGTACCCGGTATCGCCGAAACAGCTGGTCTGGACCGACAGCTGCTGGGAGCCAAGGCTCCTGGAGCTCGGTGTGCTGCGGGCATGGGATGAGTCCGGTGAGGGGATCGGGGGGTGGTAGTCGACGCCTGCCAGCCTGCGTTCGCTGGAGACGACCGCTCGAGACTGTGAAGGCTCAAATCCGGTAGTAATTCCGAAGGACGTCTGTGGTGGTGGCGGTGGCGGCGGTGGTGGTGCTAGGATTAGGGGGTCGGCGAGGTCATGGGGAGATGATGGACTGCGCTGGGGGCCGTGGGCCTGGTCCGTGCCAACGGTAATGGACGCGGCCTCGGACGACACGGCTGTCCCTGCAGTTGCTGACTCTGCAGGTAAAAACCGTGGTACGGTCTGCTGGTCGAACTGCGATTGACGCTTCCCCAAGCCCCGTTTCGATGGGCGTACTCTGGTAACTCGAGTCAGTTTCCTATTAGGTCTCCGGGGAATGGGACTGTGACTTGAGATATTACCGACCGGAAGGAGACTTACCGACACGGAACCCGGGCCTGGGCACAATTACTGCAGGACTGGGTTGCGGCCTTGACCAGGTCACATTTGATCTATCATTCGCAGCGATTTCAGTGTGTTTGCTTCAGGGCTTCCTTGTGTGCTTGGCTCTAATTACCTTCTTGCCGTGACAGCGAAAGCAGACCAGCAGCGCTCTCCTTCTCTGGGCCGGAATAGCCGAATCTGGAGGCTCGCCAGCCATTGTTTGTTGGGCATGTGGCCCTGTTGACAAGGGAACGATGAAACCGCGCGACCGTTGCACGTTGAACTCCCGGCTCCGGCTCCGTCTTTGTGCGTAGCCGGGTTGCGCAGATGGAGGGAATTGTGGTTTCTTTTTCGGCATTCAGACCAGCATGGGCCTCAATCCATATATGAAAGGCGGGGATAAGTCGCAGTGTGTAAGTGGGTGCAACTGCGGGGTTGAAATTAGATGCGGGGTGCATCCTTGGTTGGAGGCGGAGAAAGCGGGGGAGGCGACCCCACATGTGGAGGAGGTACCACCACGGTGCACCACCTCCTTCCACTGCCTGCTGCGAGCATCCTGGAGATAAGGTACCGAGCGTTTGGCATGATGAGGTCGGATAACGATGGGATGGACCTCAAAAACGACAACACATCTTCGTAACGCCTCGCTCAAGAATTACCGGACTCAGCCGCGATTCTGTTCTCTCTTCAATAATGCCTTCAACTATCATCAGGAGATTCGCCAACGCGGGCACGACCAGCTCCAAGGGCACCGAGACCTTCACTGGCGACGTCTGGGTTGACCCCGTCCACAACACGCCAGACACCAAGATCAACAATGTCCTCTTCTCCCCCGGCGCCCGCAGCCATTGGCATACGCACGAGCACGGTCAGCTCCTCAGGGTCGTCGCCGGCTCCGGCTGGATCTGCGACCAGGGCAGCCAGCCCCGCCGCCTCGTCGCCGGCGACATCGTCTGGGCTGAAGCAGGCACCACACACTGGCACGGCGGCGATGACGGCAGTTTCATGTGTCATCTGGCCGTCAGCCACGGGGCGACGACGTGGCATGGCCAGGTGACGGATGACGAGTATGCAAAGAAGACCTCTGCGGCTGCATCTTCTTAGGGACAGTGTTGCCGACCCTATTAGATGCCGGGTTGTTAGATTTGGGCTCAGTTTGAGGGACTGGGCGGGTGGGAGAGATACCTGTTAGGTACCTACTTAGGTACCTCGGTCCACTACATTAATGATTATGGAGACTGTCATGGAAGCTACCTAGGTACCTTGCCTGATGTGGTGCGGGGTTTGCAGCAGTTAGAGGAATGGAACCCCACAAGTCAAGATACATATGATCAACTGCCTTCTTTTGGTCAAAGGTCACACCTCCTTTTCTTTCAAACCCTAGGAGATTCTGATACAAACCCAAAGTTTACCAGTGTTCCTCAGGTGAACACTTTGATTCTCTTTCCTTTGCGTATCCATACTATTTGCCACTATGGCATCCCCGTCCCACCTCCCTAAGCTTCGTCCAGCCTTAGACTACGGGATGCGAAAGGTCCAACGACACATCACCACGCTGGATTCCGAGGGCCGATCGGTCTTCGTCCCAGATGAGGACATACTATACTGTGACCGCGGCGGCTACGCTGTCTCGTGGACTTACGCCACCAGCGAATTCCCTGCCGTGCTGTCCGGCAACAAGGACCTCGACGGCTTCTTGACGCGGGACCCCTCGAGCAATAACTCGGTCGCCCACACCGGCAGCCGCATCGTCAATGGCACCGGCATCACATTTAACACTACCAACTTTGCCCCCGGTACCGAGACGGTCATGCACCGGACCGTGTCGCTAGACTTCGTCGCAGTAGTGGAGGGAGAGATGGAGCTGGAGCTGGATTCGGGTGCGAAGGTGTCGCTGAAACCCGGCGTAAGTGTGTCTTGTCTCCTTATGTAGTAAAAGAAGACGACAGGCCTAGTCAAATATCTAACACCCTTCAGGATTCCATTGTTCAACGCCAAACAAACCATCTGTGGAGAAATCCCTCCAAGGACAAGCCGGCCCGGATCATTTCCCTGATCACCCCAGCCCAGAGTGTCACAATCAATGGCAAGGAAATGACTACCGAAGGGTTTAGTGTTGGTTCAATGGGGAAGCGTTCTATGGTCACACAAGGGATAGAAACGTAGAATGGATGGCACCAGCAGCCTGTCCATGACTGGGGGGAAGCGTTCTCCATTGGGGCCCAGGACCTCCTGCCCTACACGAAATAAGACAACGACGAAAAGAAAACCCCGTCTTCATTGCTTGGCATCAGTACTGATAGCAATATCCTCAGACTGCGCAAAGTTCTCCCTAACGTGCTCCAGCTTCGCCCGCACGGTCTGCAGACAGTCCGACCCCAGCGGCAGCCGGAGGTCCGGCTTCCTCCCCGTCGCCATGCCCGTCCCCGTGACAACCTCATAGATCCGCTCCGCCGCCGCCGCCGGGTCACCCGCCTGCCTGCCATCCATGCCGCGCAACTTGGCGAGCATGTCATCGCAGACGGTACCCCTGTATTCCTCGCTCAGTGGCGCGTACCGGATGTTGTCGGCACCCAGAAAGTTGGTGCGGAAGGCGCCCGGCTCGACGAGCTGGACGCGCACGTTGAAGGCGGCCACCTCGTGCGCAAGACCCTCGCTGATGGCCTCGAGCGCGAACTTGGTCGCCGAGTAGTGGCTGTATGTCGGCAGCACCCGCAGCCCTGCTGTCGAGGATATGTTGACGATGGTGCCGGACCGGCGGGTGCGCATTCCCGGTAGTACGGCGAGCATGATGCGGCAGGGGCCCCAGAGGTTGGTCTCCATCTGCTGGCGGGCATCTTCGAGTCTGTTGGTCGAGAAGTTGTTAATGCTGAGAAACTCGAAAATGATTGGAGTGTAATGCTATGAGAGAACATACTTGAGGTTCTCAAACGCACCGCAAATTGGATAGCCTAGAGGAAGCGTCAGGAACACGATAGGAATTAGATAAGGGTGCGTGAAAGTCAAGCCTCTCGCCGTGATGGACATAGGAAATGTGATAAGCTTTTCAAGGGCCTGCCAGTCCTTACGCACCAGCGTTGTTAACCACCACGTCAAGCCTGCCATAGATGGCCTCGGCTTGAGCAATAATGTCTTCGAGGTCGGGCGCCGTGGTGTCAAGAGTGATCCAATGGCCACTCCTAGATGTGACATAGTCAACCAGATCCGGCGTCTTGGATGGGTTTCGTGACGATGCTATGAGCTTGTGGCCATGAGCCAGAATCGTCTTTGCCAGCGCAGACCCAAGGCCAGCAGAGCAGCCGGTGACCAGCCAGACTTTGTTATCGGACATCTTGAATGTGTGTCAAATAGTGTTGTGGATGGTGCTATACTGTCTGTGTTGGTGGTCCAATATCCTCGTAAAGCAAATCGGGGATTTGGGAGCTTTTTCTGCTCTGATAACCCAACTGTGTCACCCCTTAGACGGGGTTGGTCAACGAATACAAAGCCTGGAAATCCCCTAGTGATGGACGGTGTACTTTGATAGCCGGAGTAACAGCGGGAGTGAAGTATCAAGGGCGTTGCCGATGTCTAGCCCAATGGTTAGGTTAGGTACATAGTCTCCACCCCTGCATTGGGAGTACTTCGCAACCTTTGCCCAACACGAATCTCGTGCTGGCATCATCAAAGGTGACCATGACGGATCACACAAGATTCGATAAAACGCAATTTATTTGTGAGCTACCTACATGACGCCTCCCAAGGCTGCAACCTGAAGCTATAACCCTAAACCCTAATTCTTGTAGAGATCATCCACAACCTCTTCGTGCCATGTCGTTTGGCCAATTCCCACAGCTAGGTGTGACATGAAGCTGTTCTTGTCAGCGCCGTGCCAATGCGTCGTCCCTGGTTCAGCCCATATGACATCGCCTGCTTTGATGCGGCGAGGCTCCCCTCCCTTATCACAGATCCAACCAGACCCGACGGTGACATGGAGCATCTGGCCGCCTTCATGGGTATGCCAGTGAGTTCTGGAGCATGGCATGAAAACGTTGCTGCCCATTGCCACGTTTCCGGACGTTGCCACCATCTGGCTCCATACTTCGCCCGTGAAGGTTTCGGTTCGCTGCACTGATTTCACGTCTTCGCTCTTGCCATTGGCTATGATGATGGACCCGGGCATGGTGATGGTGATGGTGCTAGACAGATCCACCCGCTCCGTCTTGTCAGCTGATGATGAATATCAGAGGCTCAAGTCTAGGTAGACTTACAAACGAGAGTTGGGATTGCTGTAGGGATGAAATCACTTTGGGCAGGATGAGAGCAGTCAGCACGTGTACTCACTTGATTTTGCCTGTGCACCTTTGCTTTAGGCGCGGTACTGCCTCGTCATGGGAAGAGGCCACACTAGCACTATCTCGCCAAACCGGGGATATTCTCGCCATCACAGGCCCGTGGAGTATGTTTGCCGAATGCCGGACGAAATAGGCAATTGCCTACCTTTGCCGGTGGGGATACGAACAACACTAAATTTGGCGCCGCGCAGCCAACCCAGACTGCCATGGTAAGATCTGTTGTAAAGATGGGAGTTTTGAAGGTTGAAAGCGTCACGGGGGCTGTCTCATGAAGCCTATCTATGGTCCCGGTATCGGTGGGGAGTGACAATCCCGGAGAAGAGGACACTTTAGCGTAGGGGCAATCAGCCGATGACAACCACGGGCGCGCAGCCGATTCGGCTCTTAGCTTGATGTATTGTCGTCGTCAAATACAGGCTACACTAAGGTAGAGAGAGAGAGGCATCTGCAGTAATGTTCCCGATATCATTAGCTTCGTTTTATCACAACGACCGAAAAGGATTGAACTACAGTTGTTCAGACATCCTGTCAACACAGACCATCTCACAATAGAGATGAACGCGGTAATCATTCATGGCCCCGGCGACATCCGGGTCGAGGTTAAGCCCCGGCCCTCAATTCAGGAGGATTATGATGCCGTCGTCAGGGTCACCGTTGCGGGCATCTGTGGAAGTGAGCTGCATCCCTACCGGGGACACCAGAAGACGTCTTTTGGACACATTATGGTAAGTTGGGCATTCGACATGGAACAGCGGAAATTCTGACTCATTCTACCTATGGCCAGGGCCACGAGTTTGCTGGGATTGTGGAGCAAGTCGGGAGCAAGGTGACGACTGTGAAGAAGGGCGATCGTGTCTTTGGATTGTTTTCGACATCATGGTGAGTCTTTGCTTGTTCCAATGTTTGCCCTTGAACCTGGCCGTGCTTCTGATTGCTGGGCAATATTCTTGAAGCGGGCGGTTTGGAAAGGTTTTCAACATGCAATCTTACTGACATATTACTTGTTCCCAAGCCTTCGATGCTGGTTCTGCACGCACAACCATACCAACCGATGCGTCCGCTCCCTCGCGCTAGGCACCGCCCAGATCAACGGCAGCCAGGCCGAGTACGTCCGGGTGCCAGACGCCGACGGGACGCTGCAGCTCGCGCCACCCGACATCGCGGACGAGCTGCTGGTCATGATGTCCGACATCTTCCCGACGGGGTACTACGGCGCCATGCGCGCCATGTCACAGTTTGCAGCGCCGCCGGCCACGAAGGACGACCCCGGGCAGGAAGCCGGCAGCAGCGGCAGCAGCAGCAGCAGCAAGGCGATGCAGAAACAGCCTCTGGAGTCGGCCGTCATCGTCTGCCTGGGCTGCGGCATCGTCGGGCTCTGCGCCATCATGACCGCCGTCGTGAAGGGCGCCGGCACCGTGTTCTGTGTCGACAGTGTCGAGGACCGGCTGGAGCAGGCGAGGCGCATGGGCGGCGTCCCGCTGCGGCTCGGGGTGGACGACGTCCACAAGGTGGTCATGGAGGTCACGGGTGGCAGGGGCGCTGACGCCGTCGTCGAGAGCGTGGGCAACCAGGCGGCCCTTCGCTCGGCCTTTGAGCTCCTCAGGCCCTGTGGCGTCCTGAGCTCGGTGGGGTTCCATCAGTCGGAGATGCCGTTTACGGCACTGCAGGGTTATCAGAAAAATATCAAGTAAGTTGTGCAAGCATAAAGCTCTCTCATTCATATTTCTGTTGCTGATGTGAATCTGGTTCTCTAGTCTGAATATGGGTCGTGCTCCAGTTCGGGCCGTTCTCGAGGAGGCGCTGCAGGTGTTTGTGGAGAATAAGTCTAAATTCGCTGATGTAATATCGCATCGACTACCGTTGACGGAGGCTCCGTTGGGATATAAGCTGTTCGATACACAGGAGGCCAGGAAGGTAGTGTTACGACCTTAGTGACCCAAGGTCGTCCCGGAACATGATATTTGTAGTACAATGACTCTTAAGTGACTAGCTCTACCCGGTATAATCAAGCTCCCTTTTCCATTCTGTTGCCATAGAGTCCTCACAGAGTAAGTTTGGAAGCCTGTTCTCCGTTCTTTTGCAACACCTCTTTCGCCTCAGGCCACGGTTTCCCGTCCCGCCAGAACCCCTGAATGGCCATCTCCCTTCCAGGCTTTCCGTTGCGCGGGAGGCTGTTCAGCCACCCCCAAGCAACCTTCTTCTTGTACCCACGCTTCTGCCAATCATTCAAGTCGTCGGTTGGACTCTCGTTGAGCGTCGGCAGGTTGTGCAACATAGTCTCGTCGTGAGCCAGGCAGATCAGGACCGAGGGACTGGCGTCAAAGGCCACCAACTTGTCGACGGATCCCTGCGAGGCCACCGGGTCTATGTATGCAGCTGCTGAGTTGGTCGGTATCAGGTAGAAAGGCGAGGCTCGGGGGTCGGCTGGAGCATCCACGCTGGCGCATGCCTTCATCGGGTGAACGTCCGCGAAGAGAGAACAAGGACAGGGCGTTGGGAAGTATGTGTCGCTGTCCAGAACACCGTTGGGGATCGTCGCTGGAAGTGGTTGCTGAGGGCTGGGCCGGAAGACCCCTGGAAAGTGACATACGTCACCTCCCAGCAGCACAAATGTGCTCTCCGGGCCACCAGTTGTTCGTGCAAGGCCGCAAATATGGCCCAGGCAGTGTCCTGGTGTGTCTTCATTATACACCACACGTTAGTTCATACCTACATAGGCGGTAAAAGCTCAACTCAAGACCCCACGTACCAAGTAGATAGAAGGACCCATCCCCAAAGAAGTCGTGGGCCCGGAATCCGCCAATCTCCAGACCATTCTCAAACCCAACCTCTGTCAACGTCCGGTCCTTGATTGCGGCGGCATCTATAGGCGAGTCGGGATTGTGGGGAAAGCCAGGCAGAAGGATCGGAGACTTCTTGAAACCAGGTCCAACCACCAGCTGAGTAGACTTGGGGAAGAGCTCCATGGACCCTGTATGGTCCCAGTGGTAATGCGACCATATGACGCTCGCTGGAGAAGGAAATGTGTTAGATGAGATAGTTCAACAACGGTACATGAGGCGGGCGGCTTTGACAATGTCAGACAACCACGAGCGCGCTCTATTTGTGCAGGTTGTGACACTCACAGATCTCATCTAATCTGATGCCCTTCTCCTGCAGTATCTCCGTGGTGTCTTTATCAACCCTCAGTGCCGGAATGACAAACCCTAGCCGCTTCTGCAGCGCAGCTGGAAGCCTCCAAAACTCTTTGCGCACGCCCAGGTCGAACATGACCTTGCGCCCAGATGTGGGGTGCTCGATGAGAAATGCGGCCACATAGAGATTCAGGAACTCGTGGCCCCTTTGCACGGGCTCGATGAACGATTGGGCATTCACCACCATCACCCCAGTCGTGTCCACCATACGTACTCGCACCGTGGCGTCGGATACGGGGAGGTTTAAGTCGGCCATGGCTGAGAATGCCACTCTCCAATGAGGGCTAAGAATGTCACGAGCCAGTGAGGGGAGGGAAAAGGAATCCTTAGGCAGGCACCACAACAGCTACGCCAGCCAGCAACTCTCACGCAAGGTATTTAATTGTGTGCCAGTACTAATGCGGCCTACTTCAAGGACCTGCCCGATTTCTCCGCTGCCTTCTTAGTATTTCGGCAATAGTCTGTTTTTGGAAGCCCCCCCCTTTTTTGCGCTATTAGGCGGGGAAGAGAACGCCAACCGGTGACGGCTAACCTGAGTTGCCGGAAGACTACTACGCAAGGTAGACATACTGCTAATCGTCACATCCTTCCGTACCTTCTGCAAGTAACATCTACTTAGAGGCTCAAAAAGTCCAGATTTATGTTCTCCAACCCAGTGAGGAACTGGTTGAGATGAGTAGGGAAATCAAAAGTCCAGCCTAGTTCTGTGAATGGCATTGCCTGATCATCTTGAGCAAACAGAGTACCAATGAGAGGACTCGTCTCCCCAGTAACGTAAGGAAAGTAATCCCGCCAGTTGATGCCAGCGATGGCCGACAGCTCGTCCATCGATGGAGACAGTCCTGGCCCGGCCACCGATGTCCGTGCCGGCATTCCGTCAGCCCCGCCTCCATTCTGCGGCCCTGCGTTCAGCATCAGCTTCTCAATGCCCCTTTCAAACATCTGTGCCGACCGCCACGTCTTAGCCATGGCACTGAGAGCCGCGCGCAGGGTCTGTATATCGGCTTTTGCATCGACAGCAAGCCCCTCGAGCCTGCGCGCGTGCAGCAGCGCCAAGATGGCAATGGTGGCGTACCACCCAGCCTGGCCGGCGAGGAAGCAGATTGACCCGCGGACCAGGTAGTCGTGGAAGATGCGGGCGGTGCACGACGCGGCCACGACGGCGGCGACCGAGGCCTGAGGCAGCGGCTGGGCGTCGTTGCTGAGGTGCAGCAGCGTGATGGTCGACAGGTACGTCAGGTGCATGCCGTGCACGTCGCGGTGGAACCCGCGCGTGCGGCTGCCCTCGAAGGCCGGCTGTAGCGGCCGCGGCAGCGCCTGAACCCAGGCGATGAGTTCGCGCCCCAGCTGGATCGCCGTCGGGCCCGGGTTGCCCGGCCGCCGCCGCAGCATCTTGCTGATGCGGCCGATGAGCTTGCAGAGCGGCACCCATTTGACGAAGAGGGAAACTTGGATGTAGTGTGGCTGGGAGAAGTCGCTTGGCGACGGCATGGGCACGTCGCAGTCGTCTAGATCGATCAGACATGGTCGACCTTGAGAGATGGCGGTGATGCGTTCGCGAGCCTGTTTTTGGTATTTATTAGATCATCACAGCCAACCAACCGTTGCTATCAAAAATTGTTTCAAAAAAAAAAAAAAAAAAGCTTACCACCAAGGTCCACCAGATCCGCCGCCTTAAGCCCGGTGACTCGCCGGCCACCATGGGGCCACTAGATCGCGGTTCGCAATGCAGGCCAATCTGCTGGGCAACGCGTATGGCCGTCCCAGTCCACCACGACGTGTTGTCAAGGCTCACGACATTTGGAGCCTCGGAGCTCCACCAGTAGAAGAGCATCAGGGCCATTATACGAATCAGCGGGTTGGGTTCGTGGTTGCCGTAGAAAAGCTCCTTGGCGCGGTTGTAATGCTCCGTCGAGGAGGACTGGTGCAACAAAGAGGGCCTGATCTGGTTCGCGCATAGGGCCAGAGCGTGCCTCAATAGTAGCGACTGGCGGAGACTGGGATCGGCGTCCAAGGTGTCGCGATCAAAAATGGGACACCATGTGAAGGCGTACTCGAAGAACACATCGAGGTGGGCTTCTTGTAGGCCGACGGGTATATAATCCACTTCCAGAGACCGTGGAACCTGCTGCTGCATCGTCAGATCTCCGCTTTCGCTGCTGAAAATTTGCATGTAGCCGCTGTCCCCCAGATAGCTGGAATATCGCCGCCGTGAGTCGGCATTCGGCGGCGGGACAACGTCATGGGACACAAGCTGTCCCTCAAGGTTAGCATGATCGGCCGGCGGCGGCGTAGCCCCGGTGAGAACCTGGCCATGATTTCCACTGATGGCCGTGTCCATGGGCTCTAGGTCACCTCCTCCGTCGAGGGACGAACCCGGAGCCGGGGAGCCGTCGGCAGGGGGTGGTGCGAAGGGCAAGCCAAAGGGCGCATCGGCACTCCAGGAGACGGTTATGTCCCGTCGGGGGTCATTCCGGCCGGAAGTGGCCCCACGCTTGCCTCTTTTAGAGGGCCGCAGCCTACGTGTTGGGCATAATGAGTTGAGTGGGTCTGGGAGGTAGAGTGCAGCAATACGGGGCACCTACAGGCAGGGACAGTCAGCGTCAGCGCAGTTCGAACATCGCGACGCCCGCTGGTCGTCTCGAGGTTTCTTCGCCAAGTCACACTTGATCTGTAGCAAGTGGAATTATCAATATTACTAACTATTTGTCTTTCCCACCCAACAGAAGCACATACCTTTTTCTCGTGGCATCGAAAACACACTAGGCACGCGCGTTTCTTGCTCTGGAACGGTACCGATGAGGCTGCCCCATTTGACTCATAACCTGGGATGGAGAACTGAGCCAACATCCTCCTCGTTGCCGACCTGAGTCTCACACAGGTGGAGGCAAGTGGGTTGCAGTGCAAGCAGCGTTCTCATGGGGGGGCGTTGCCGCTCTAAATAGGATGTTTGCCGAACTCATTCGGCAGTCCAGCCAGCTAGATTGAATGTGCGGGGATCGTGCGGAGCATCCTTGGAATGCGGAGAGGGGTGGGGCGGAGGCGGTGCGGGGCAACAAAGAGGTGGCCGGGTTGGGGTTATTTATGACTTTTTCCATTGCCGATACCTATCCGAACCGGTGCTGCTCACGTTTATTACCGTATGTGGAGATGCCTATCTCTAAGAGTTCGATATTGACTAAACTTGATCTGGTTGAATGGATCAAACGCAGCCTTACTCCAACCTCCACCTCCGTGCTCGAATTTGGGCGTGTAAACGGCACGGTTGAGGAGCCAAATAAGAAGGACTCGTAACTTCCACGTCGGTCTCAAGAAAGGGATGGAGGAAACCATAACGAGTCATTCGTGGATTTCATCAACCTGTCCACGTATTTCTCCCGCCCGCCCTTTGCAAACACCCCAGCAGATCCAATAACAGCCGCACTATGGCGCAAAAGGCCGATCGTGCAGCTATCGAACAGGCCCAGGCAGTCCTCTACGATGAAGGAACCAAGCTCCGGCAGGAAGTGTTGGGACTCAAGCACATCGCCCAATCCAAGGCCCTTCCCGATTTCCTGCAGCCAGTCCAAAGCATGGCAGTCACTGCCGGGTGGTCGCTCTGCTGGTCTAGGCCGGGCCTGGAGCGCAAGACACGATCACTTCTCTGCTTGGTCATGTTGGCTGTCCTCGGGCGCGATAATGAGCTGGGCGTCCATGTCCAGGGTGCGATATCCAACGGCTGCACCAAAGAGGAGATCCGTGAAGCTCTACTACAGGTAAGGGCTTGCAACTCGTCATGGGTTCTTCCCATTGGGGAACCCTGCGCCCACGCTCATCATATCTCAACCATAGGTCTCTGTCTACGCCGGAGTGCCCTGCGCGTTGAACGCTACCAATATTGCGTGGAAAGTTTTGGAGGGCATGGAGGCCAACGGCCATGGGGAGGTCGCTGCCAAGAGGACGCTGTAGCTGTGTTCTCTTCTTGTAGCTGTGTTCTCTTCTTCTTTTGTACATCTCCTATGCAAATTAGATTACTAGATTCCTAGGGTACTACGATAAACGATGCCACCCAAAATCCTTGATATCTGTTCCTCATAATATCATGTAGATGAGGCACCAAATTCTCCGTAAACCAAGGAACTTGCCACAGTCTGAAGTTTGTTCAAAGGGGTCCCCTCGTCGAAATCGTCGCGCTCGAGGTCCAGGTAACCAGATAGTGACAGTTGTCGAGGGACAATGCCTAAATTCCTTCCTGCAATAGGGTGTTGTTTAGTCAAGTGAAGGTTTGAAACCAGGCCAACAAACGTTTTTGTTATGTTACTAACCATTGATTGACGTGTCGGTCATGAGCCGGACAACAGCCGTCACGGCGTCGTCTTCAGTGGCAAAGTCAACACCCATGGCCTCGAATTGACCCCCGGTTGACTTGATGAAGCTCTCTGGTAGGATCGGAGTCGCGATAAACCTTTGGCTAGGTCAATATCTTAAGAGTGCACAGAGAGACAAGGAGAGAAAGGAAAGGCACCAAAACTCACCATGGAGCAACACTGTTGACTCGCACGAGGCCTTTGCGCCGGAGACAGGCCATGAGCCCCCTGACGCCATGCTTGGCGGCCGAATACACGGATGAGCCCTGAGTATCGATATAGCCCATGATGCTGGAGATCAAGATGAGGCAGCAGTCACCCTCGTCTTGATGGTGGAAGTACCATCCAGCCAGCTTGGAGGTGTAGATCACTCCAATGAGGTTCACGTCAAGGAGCTTTGTGGCGGGCTTCTTTGGCTCAGGGTCATCAAGACCTGAAGAGTCTCGTCAGACGCCACTTGTCTAGACATGTGTCCGATTAGGGAGTTGGGGCAACACAAACCATCGAGTGCATCGGGGCCGTATATGCCTGCATTGGCAATAACGACGTCGATTCTTCCGTTGGGCGCCTTCTCCCTTGCAACCTTGAAGACGTTGACCTGCTCCTCCCAGTTGGTCACGTCGCACTTTACGAATACGGCCCTAATTTACTCTCTTGCTTAGCAGGTTTGCGATTCTTCTCTTATCTGTCTCCCGAGACTTTGATATGGATCTAATTACCGATCTGTGGAAAGGTGTTCTCGTGGAGGCTGGATATCGCCATTTACAACGAACGCACTTGGGGCTCCGGTTAGTCGAGACTCGAGACGTGCGCACCGCCACTCATGTTTGTCAGGGGTTTGTACCCGGCCTTAACAAGAGCCTGTATGTAAGCTAGACCCAAGCCACTGCTACCTGTCGAGCACGAGATGGATTAATTGCATGATCATTAATATGCCCATAGAGGACGAGATGCTGATGTGCTTACCTCCAGTGAGGACAACTGTCTTGCCAGCGACTTTACCAAAGTCTACATTAGCTTGGCAGTCCACAACACGGTTCTCATAGTGTGACGGAGGCATGGTGACGAATTTGAGAGAAGGCAAATCGGTATCCGGACCAAACGAGATAGTATAGCTTCGCCTGGGTTCCTTAATTAATCGCGCTATGAAAGCTCATATATGTAACTAGCATTTGCGTGTGCAGACGATGAACCACCCCGCCACTCAACGAGAGCATTACTCCTCGGCAAACAGGAATGAAGAAGCTGGAGAGATATTCCCCGGGGAGTTCCCATTAGTCACCAAATCGGCGTCTCTCGCCGTATAATAAGCCGACACAATTGCTTGCTTTCATAAACTAGAGACTAGTCTTCGGCAAACAGATTTTGAGCCGCCCATCTTTCCACTTTAACCCGGCATCTTCGGTAAACCTCTTCTCGTATGTTTGCCGCACAACCTAGCCTCCGATTGACATAGCCTCACGGTGGAGGTTGGGAGAATGCCGTCCTTCGATCGATGGCTCGGCTTCGACTTGACAGAGCCGTGTCGGCCGGCCGGAATCGCGGGGCAAACGAGGCGGGACCAGCATCGCCCGTCGGGAATATGATGATGCACACTGCTCCACTGGCGTCTTAGGGTCTCTTCGTTGAGGGCAAAAGCCCGCGCGGCTTGGATACATACAAGAACATAACGGCAGCCTCTGAAGAGCGTCTCATCGGCTCTATGTGTTTACATTTACGTTTCTCCCCGAGTATCAGCGCTTGCCAGAATGTCGCCCCTGCCCCTGTTTCCAGAACCTGTGCTTGCCTCAGCTAGCACTGAGCCAAGTACTGCATCACAAAACGCCAAGAACATGAATGGGCATAGCTCGACTGCCAACAACCCCGTGTTCGAGGCCTATGGCCTGCCTGGAGACATCACCATTGGCAGCAACAGCAAAGGACCACATCCTTCCTCCACCCACAGACCAGTGCAGCATCCAGAATGGGACAAGCCGGGCAAGACGGGCTATGTAGTCTCCCACCACATGATCAACGAGCCGCCGCCGGCGAGACCGCGCTTCAAGATCCTCATGATCGGGGCCGGCGCCGCTGGTATCGACTTGCTTCATTATGCACCCAAGGAGCTCGCCGGGCTGGGCGTTGAGATTGCCTGCTACGACAAGAACCCCGAGATCGGTGGAACATGGTACGAGAACCGGTATCCGGGTTGCGCCTGCGACGTGCCCAGCGTGGGATACACATTCCCATGGAAAGCGTACCCTCGCTGGACGAGCTTCTACTCTACGAGCCAAGAAATTTGGCAATACATGAAGGACATCGTTGACGAGGAGGGGATGATGAAGTACATCACCCTAAACACCACCGTTGTTGCTGCCAGATGGGACGAGCAGAAGAGCGTATGGGTTGTCAAGCTCACACAATCGTCCAACAGCACCGGGGCAAAGGAGTGGGAGGAAGAGTGCGACCTGCTTGTGAATGGTGCGGGCTTCTTGAAGTAATTAAGTCTCCCAATGGCAGTTCCCCCCTCCGCGCGGACGGTTTTGCTAATTGCAAAAACCACAGTGCATGGAAGTGGCCGGAAATTCCTGGCCTCAAAACCTTCAAGGGTGCCTTATTCCACACTGCAAACTACCAAGAGGGGTACGACCTGACGGGCAAGCGGGTTGCCGTCATCGGCTCCGGCAGCTCAGGCGTCCAGGTCTGTGCAGATATCTATTCCGAGGTTGGGAAGCTGTACACTTGGGTCCGGGAACCAACTTGGATTACCGCGGCGTTTGGTCAGCAGTTCGCTGGAAAGGACGGCCGTAACTTTGACTGTGGGTTCCGCACTTCACATGCAAACAAGAACGCGAGGGAAGAGCCTCCTTTTATAGGTACTGACGGAACATCAGATACTGAGGAACAAAAGGTCGCCTTCGACGTCGACCGGGAGAGTTACCACCGCTACAAGAAGATGATTGAGAATGAGCTGAATAAGAGATTCAGGCTCGTCCTTCGGAACACCAAGGAGTCGGATGAGGCGAACGCGGTAAGCATTCCGGGTTTGCAGAAGCTCCTGAGCCTTTGTTTTTATGGTTTGTCCCAAGAGCTAACCAAAAAAAAAAAAACCCACGTGAACAGTACGCATACAAGGAGATGTCGACGAAACTGGCCAACAAGCCAGAGATTCGCGACGCCATGATCCCCGACAACTTCAACGTTGCCTGCCGTCGCCCGACGCCGGGCAATGGCTATCTAGATGCCCTTGTGGGCGAGAAGACGACCGTCTTCACGAGCAACATCCAGACCATCACCGAGCGCGGGGTCGTCGACTCTGCCACGGGCCAGGAGCACGAGGTGGACGTCATCATCTGCGCGACAGGCTTCGACACGTCGTACCGCCCGCGCTTCCCCATCACGGGGCTGGACCCCACGATCACGCTGGCCGAGAAGTGGGCCGACTTCCCGGCCAGCTACCTCGGCATCGGTGTGGACGGGTTCCCCAACTACTTCACCTACTCGGGTCCCTTCACGCCGGTAGCGCAGGGGTCGATCCTGCCCATCATCTCCATGCTCACCAACCACCTGATGGAGATGGTCCGGCGCATGCGCACGCAGCACATCCGCCGGCTGAGCCCCAAGCCCCAGGCCGTGGCCGACTTTGTGGAGCACACGCAGACCTTCATGCCGCGCACCTGCTGGGCAGACCCCTGCGCGTCGTGGTTCAAGCAGGGCACCACGGATGGCCCGATCGTCATGTGGCCGGGCTCGCGACTGTCCTTCTTCGAGGCGCTGCACCACCCCAACTTTGAGGACTACGAGGTCGAGTACTGGAGCGGCAATCGCTGGGGCTTCCTCGGCACCGGCTTTGTCGACTTTGAGTTCACCGGCACTAGGGATCTGACTTGGTACCTCGATGTCTTCTCCGACAAGGAGCAGTGGAAGAGGGGCGTGCCCTTCGACCAGGACCCGGACGAATTCCGCGATGTCTCTGCCGGCGCGCTGCCGGGCACCAAGATCTTGGGGCGGAAGAGCACGGAGGCGCCGTTGGAGGTTCTTGGCACTGCTCCGGATGCTGGGCATTAATATAGAGGCTGCATTTTAATATCTGAACTAGCTCTACATTGTGAACAGGGCTCTTCTTTTCGCTTGTAACTTTTGACACGCGTTTCTCATCTCTTGTCCCTCTCCCGTACGACCAGCAATCTCCTCCTGTATGGACACGAAGCATCATCTTGATGCACTCCCTAGATTCTATTTGAGTCAAATTGGTCTGGTTCTAATTACAAGGGAGCCACCATCCTTGGCTAGCCAGCAAGGCCAAGAAGGGCAGGATTAGCACCATGGTCGCTTCCTCTAATTAAGCTATTCGTTGTGATCTATCGAACCTTCTACGTTTCCATGACAGTGAATGACGAAGTGTTATCAGCAGACAGAAACCATTTGCAACTCTCGACTAATAGATCATCCCAGCGCCTGCTCGATGGCAGGTCGGTAAATCGCCGGAAGCCGTGTGGCAAGCCAGGAAAAACGTGCACCTTAGTCGGAACTCTGTGAACAAGCCAATCAGTCTCGAAATCAAGACTTGTTTCTTCCACTCTTTCTTTATGGGGCACTTGAAGGGGAAATTGAACGCCAAATACCCACCCGTTTTTCTTCAACTTTTCGGCGTAGAACAAGCCTTCATCCCTGAGCAAGTCCTGCCCAGCAACCAAAAAGCTCGTCTTCGGCATGCCAACGACCCCGGCGTCGTCGATCAACGCCACATTGAGGACCGGGTCCGCGGGATCCCGCTCCGCGCCAAGTAGGTCCGTGAAGAGCCGGAGCAGAGCCATCGGAAGCACGGCAGCGTCAACATTCTGCCAGAAAGACGAAGTGGGCGCTCCCGCAAGCGGGTGGTTGTCCGGATGTACAAGCCACGGGATGCACAGGAGTTGGCCGCATATCTCCAGCCCATCTGCCCTGGACAACGAGGCCTCCAGGCCGCCGTGCTGGCGGGCGATGACGGCGGCTGCTAGACCTGCGCCGGCGGAGATGCCGCCTACGATGACGCGGGTCGGGTCGGCGCCGATGGTTGCGGCGTTGCTCGCTAGCCATTCGAACGAGTCCCATGCGTCGTTGACCTGGGTCGGGTGCTTGAACTCGGGCGTGTGCCGGTAGCCGACGTTGGCGACGACGATGCCGGCTTGGGAAGAAACACGCGAGCAGGCCGCGTCCTCCGTCTCGATGGTGCCGAGAAGGTGGCCGCCGCCGTGGAAGTAGAGGTACACCGGTAGGAGTGCCGTGGCTGGGGCATGCCTCGGACGGTAGACGCGGACAATGATGTTTTGTTTGTCACGGGTCAATATGCAGTAGTCACTCCATGTGGTTTTGCTGCGCAGATCTGTTATGGCCGCCATCGTGTTAAATATATATTAATTATACAATTCCCTCAAGGGGGGGAACTGATATTATGAACTGACGTTGGAGCAGAGGAAAGGAACGCAGGCTTACCATCTGCTTCAAGTTCGGCTTCCGAGATGCGAACACGAAGTGTGTTTGTTGCTTGTCGGATGGCCTGGGGTGACAAACTCAGATTCCCAACTGGTAGCGGGTTCTTCTGGACAAAAGTCTCCCATTCCGAGGAGGGACCCTGGTACTGGGAAAAGTCCGACATTGGTCCGTTGGGCGGTGGGTGGCCTGTGTTTGGGTTGGGACGTAGTAGTTAAGGTAGGGAGGGAGGTGGCTTAGTGAGGATGTGCTTCTTAAGTGACAAGTAGATTGTGGGAGCTAGGGTAGTTGAATGCTGGTGCTGGTGCTGATTCCGGTACCGGCGGGTGAAGGGCAACTTGTCCTCCCCATCGGAGAGTCTAGCCTAGTGCGTAGCCCACGTCAACAATGGTGGCAGAATATGCCGAGTCAGGGGCAGACAAAGCCGACCACATCAAGCTATATGCTAACGATCAGAAACTCGGTGTAAGGTGTAAGAATACCGGTGTTAATTCGGACGCAGGACACAGGGCTGGGCCCAAAGAGGCTCAGTCAGAATTCAACAGTGGAAGCAGGGTTCACACATAGCTCAATTAAGGAGTCGTAAGACACCATGAAGGAGCTGCCTTCTAACCGACCAAGATTGCCTATGCTACACAGACATTTCTCAGTACTCGCTAATGACGTCGCAAGGTAACCTATAATATACACTGTAATCTACGGCGCTGGCAGAGTAGAAGCCGGCTGGCCCGACGGAAGCAAACCATGTGCCGTGCCGAGGTACCAGGCCATATCACTGCCGTCATACTCGATCGTCGAGAAGCCATTTCCCAGGAAGGCAAACTTATTGGAGCTCCAATACTCAATATCATAGTCCTCAAAGCGGGGGGCCGAGACTAGGTCAGCCAGAACCAGGCGCGACCCAGGGAAGATGGTCAAGACGCCGTCAGCCTTGCCGTTCTTGAACCAGGACGGACAAGGGCCCGCCCAGGCGGTGCGCTTGAGCCACAGGTCGGCGTGCTCGACGAAGGCGTCGGTGGCGTCCTGGCGCGGCGAGACGGCCTTGATGTTCTCCTTCTGGATCTTGCGCACGACGGCTAGGATGTTGTGGAGGAAGAGCTCGACCATGGTGGTGTAGGAGCCGTGACCGAAGGAGAAGTAGGGGCCGCCGATGGTGAAGTAGTTGGGGACTAGAGAAGAGAATTTGGGATTAGCCTGGGGCGAAAGGCGCGGCAGTTGAAAATAAGTTTAGGGGAGTGCGGGAAACTTACTGTTGGGGACTGCCATCGACAGGTAAGAGGTTGGACGCTTAGCCTGCATGTCCTGCACGTTGACGCCGTGGGCCACAATGGGGAAACGAGGCACCCATGAGGTGTCGAATCTGACAAATTGGCTTCATCAGCACGTCGATTCATTCTCCTGACCGCAGGAGTAGTGTTTGTTTCCTACCCAGTAGCGCAGATAATCACGTCTGCTTCGTGCTCCTTGCCTTGGCGATCCAAGAACCCATTGGGTGTGACTTTCTGAAGCGTATCCAAAAAGGTAGTGACCTTCTCCGAGGTCAACGCCTCAAGGAAGCCGCTACCAGGCTGAGAGAGACTGTTAGTAACTACCAACCCAGTAAATTCAGATGGCCAGGTTGGCCAAGAAAGCATACCGTAGGACGCCGACATCCGACGTTGAAGTTTGTGGGGATAATCTTCTCCATGATATCTGTCCTGTGGCCAAGTTTTTTCCTCATCTCCTCCATAGAGAACTTGAACGAAAGTCAGTCTTCGTTGGTCATATGGGGGATCTCACCAGGGCTAATTAGCGTTTCACACTGATTACTTACCGCTTTCGCCTGCTCGGCTTCGGCAGTCCCAACCTGGATGTTCTTGAACATCTCGCTGACCTCGCTCTCGAGCTTCTTGCAGTAGTCCAGGTACTCGTCAGAATGCTCAGCAAAGCGTTTCTTCTGCTCCTCCGTATCTGAATGGTGGATACGACCGGTTAGCGACGCAGGGAAAATAAAAAACTGGAGTGGAAAGAGTCTTGATAAGACACCTACATTTGAAGTTTGCTCCATTAGGACCGGCATATTTCTGAGCGAACCCAGCCGTGATCCAGGTGGGTGATCGGACCCAGCAGTACAGATGCTGGACTTTGGGGAGAATATTCGGGATCACCTGGACGCCACTGCTGCCAAGGCCAATGACGGCCACCTTCTTGCCTTCGAGCTCGGTACTCTCGTCGTAATTGGCAGTATGGCAAAGTGTTCCCTTGAAGCTGTCGAGTCCCTCGATCTTGGGCCAGTCCCAGGCGCTGTAAGAGGTTCAGACGTTAGTTCCGGGGAGTGGTTTCTACAACTCTTTTTCTTTTCTTTTGACAGGCGACTACTCACTTCAAAATGCCACTGCAATTGATGAAGACGTCGCAGCTGTCGACAAAGGAGGACCCGCTCAAGACATCTTTTACGTGGATGTCCCAGCGCCCCCGTTCCGAGTCCCAGTAGGCACCCGTGATCATGTGGTTAAGGTGGATGTACTTGGCCAGATTAAACCGATCAACCACATCCTTGAAGTACTGGAGGATCTCTTTGCCGTCCGAGTAGAACTGAGACCAGCGCGGGTTCTTGGCCCAAGAGAACTGAAGACAAACACTTTAATCCAAACTGCCTGTTGCATCTCAACATGGAATAGATGAGGACTTACCTGATAAATGTGGGACGGAATGTCACATGCACATCCTGGATATCTGCATTCAGCTTGCTTAGCAATCGGTTCTTTCTTGCGACTTTGAAGCCGCTGGCGGCGAGGTGCTTCTTCCTCCCTTGGCCAGATGAAGCAAATAGGGGCTCGAGACTAACCTGTTCTCATACCATGTCCCACCATACTCGGGGTTCTTGTCATAGATGGTTAGAGTGACGTTGCGCAGCTGCTCGGGCAGAAACTTGGCGAGGCAGATGCCCGCACAACCCGCGCCGAGCGCGATCACTCTCAGGGGCCGCTCTTTGCCGCACAGCTGCTCCTTGATTCTGTAGCCTCGCTCGTTCTGGGTGGGCCAGCCATAGCGAGCCGGCAGAGCCTCGAAGTCGGCCGCCGCACTCCGCGATAGGAATTCGGTATCTGGCGCCAAGTTGCCCATCATGCAAAAAAAAAAAGCAACGTCCAAAATGGGAAAACAGATGGATAACTGACACACAGAAAAATCAATCCCTCGATCAAGAAGAACTAACGACCTTTCCCAGAACGCCTAGTAACTCCTCGGTGAAGCCTTCATAAATGGTCGCCCGTGTTGCCCCCCGGGGCTCCGCTAGGTCGGGGTATCATGGCCGGCGTGGGGTGGTTAGTTGGGGTAGACGGCCAAGGCCCGTCGTGCTTCGGCTTCACCTTCTCTTTCGTTCGGCTATTGTGGTTGACTACCGGGTAGAGGAGCGGAGAGTTGGCGCGGGTACTTCAGGTTCTCCACTTCGTAACCGGTCGGGTAAAGGAAGCCGATATTGTGTGCGGGGTGCGGGGAACCCGTGAGGTTTGTGTCTGTGGTGCGGAGTAATTGGAGAAAGCCGATTTGTACGATGCATATCCTCCTCATAGCCGACAGTCGCCCACTTGAGACCCGGCGACGTTGTTAGCGTAGACTAGACGTCCTTAGGCTACCGGGCTAGTCGCCCTTTTGGCCAGGCTCACAGGACAAAGGTGCATGCCTGGACCATGATTCTGTTCATTAATTTACCCCTTGAGGGGAACGTGAGGACTTCTTTTAGCGAGCAGTTCATCCAAATTTTCATGGTTTCCAAGCTTGTTAGTTGACCCATTGTGCCACGATGGAGCTCCCATCATACGATGATCTCCCCGTGATCAACTTCAACGGTCGACAGAAGCGTTGTGCCTGGGGCCTCTTTGACAAGGACGGCAAGAAGGACGTCTATGGCTGTCTGAACAAGGTCACACCCCACGTGGTTGCTACAGCTGCTGCCGAGGTGAAGGACGGTGTAACTATATCCCTTAAGTGAGAGAAAACCAGCACCGTATTTGTGCGAGGCTTCGTCGAATGTTGTCTAACTAGAACTCAATAGCTGGCCACTTCGTGTGAGCAAACAGCCGGGCTTCGGACGAAAAGGGTTGGTCCATAAAGTGATCTCCTTCGTCAACTCTCCATTACAGATACATGGATTTGATGATGAGGTAGGGAAGTGATTCGATAGCAAGTCCCCTGTACATTCTATCGGTCGGCGGCTGACGTGAGGCATGCGTGTTCTTGAAGGTTGAGTTCAACACTCAGTGTAGCAGTCAATGGGATGCGTTATGTAAGTCGGATAAGAGAGAGAGAGAGAACGGCGTCTCAAGCGCTATCAATCACTAAAATTCAAGCGTACAGGTCATTTCTATGATCAGGATATTAAGCGAGGCTACAACGACTCGAACCCGTCGATCCAGGACCTGGTCCAAGATCACGGCGAGGAGGATCATAGTGCTGTCCTGCCTACTCTGAATCGTACGTGACCTCGTCATGAAATTTCAGTCTCAACTGTGTAATATTGCACACCTGGTAGGCTTTACTGACAAGACACTTCCCAGACTGGCATGCTCGTGGTGGTCTCGCAACGAGGGGAGTGTTGATCGACTACAAGGCCTGGGCAGAGAGAAAGGGTACCCGATACTCTCCCTTCTCGGCTCACAAGATCACCATAGCGGCCATAGAGGAGATTGCTCGAGATCAACGCGTCGTGTTCCAGCGAGGAGACATGTTCCTAGTACGCACCGGATTCACTGAAGCCATCGAGGCGATCGCAGACCCCGAAGAACAGGAAGAGAAGGCGAGCTCACCCGACAGCGCGGGGATCGAGGACAGCATGGAAGCCGTCAGGTGGTTTTGGAACCAGCACTTCAGCGCCGTGGCCGCCGACAACCCCGGCTTCGAGGTCATGAGGCCGACCAAGGACGGTGTGCCTGCCAGTGGCACAACTGCAGATTACGGTAGGCCGGGCCTCCCTTATGCTCGCAATCTAATTAGCTGCAAAAAGGGGGCGCGGAGCTAACTCCAATAAAACAACAGTCCTCCACCCAAATTTTCTCTCCTTGCTAGGTCTGCATATCGGAGAGCTCTGGGACTTCAAAGCCCTGTCGGAGCACTGCCAGAAGACGGGCCGGTTCACGTTTATGCTGACCTCAATGCCCTTGAACTTCGCTGGGGCGTGCGGCTCTCCACCCAATGCAATGGCGCTCTTCTGAGGGCTCAGGACGCCATAAGGTTACTCTAGGAACAGTACAAGGAGAGTTCAATGTAGAGAAGGTACTGGAATCTTAAGTAATGCGTGCCACTTTGTGTTTTGATAGAGTGTTATTGCATCATCATGTCACCCTACAACAATACAGAATGGGGTAATGCCGCGAGTGAGTCCCGATCGGGCGCTGTGTTAGTCATGTACGTACATGCAGTAGGCTAAGCTAAATAAAAGGAGACTCGATACGCCCAGAGGCCACACCTCCGTCGATAGTAATCTCAGCCCCCGTCGTATACGGCGACGCGTCACTGAGGAGATAGACAATGGCCGGCGTGAGGTCGTTTCGGTTACCGATGCGCCTCAACGGCGGCTCCCGGTTCATGAGCTCGATCCGTCTCGGCTCCTTCTCCTTCAGCGGCGTCAGCAACTCGGTGTCGATGAAACCCGGCGAGATGGCGTTGACCCGGATGTTGAATGGGGCCAGCTCGACGCTCAGGGCCGTGTTGAGCATCTTGACGGCGCCCTTGGAGGCGTTGTAGGCTGACAGCCGGATGCCTGGCGTGGCGCAGGATCCGGAGATGGAGGCGATTAGCACAATGCTTCCGCCTGTACCTTGGGCTAGCATCTGCTTGGTGGCCAGCTGGGCGGAAAAGAAGGTGCCAGTGATCTGTTTAGTCCCATCCCCCGTTAGATTCCAGTTAGATCGAGCTTGTTTCTCCCATGCACGGTGATGTCTGACCCCGACCAGGACTGTGACCACTTACGTTGACGTCGAAGCACTTCCTGACTTCGTCCCAGGTGTGCGTCTGAAATGGACCGTCGGGACAGATTCCAGCTGCAGTAACGCTGTGAGAGGTCAGCATCATCCAGATTGGTTCCTGAACGAAGCATGTCATGTGTCTGCTTGGTAAGTGCTCACCAGCCGTCCAGAGTCCCGAAATCCGCCAACGTCTCAGAGAAAGCCGTAGTCAGACTCTCTTCGCTGGCGACATCGGTTCGGATGTACTTTGTCTTGACCCCAAACTCACGGCCGAGACTGTCAAAGTCCCTGACAGGTGCGGGCGCCGCATCGAGGATGGAGACGTTGCCCCCCATCTCTGCAATTCCTCGCACCGCAGCATATCCTATGCCTCTGCCGCCGCCAGTGACGATGTAGTTCTTCCCGGTCAGGTCGAACCGTTCCTTTAACGGCACGAGATCACCGTCTGCGAGGGAACTGTTGGTCGCGGCCGTCGTCTGGAAGCGTCGCGTATTCGGGAATGGTTTGGGTGCAAGGACGTTCCTTGATTGGATGCACCGCAGGCCCGCGGACATGAACTGACGTGGGGCAACCATGGACGGAGATGATGGCATATTGGGCTAGATGCTTGCTGATCTTGGAAGATGTCCTCCAGGCAATAATTGGCTCCAAGAACAGCCATAAATATACCTGAGACTGGCTAGGATGTAGGGGAATGGACGCCCTAATTGGAGGTAATAATATCCACTGTTCTAAGCCATCCGGCAACAAAGTCCCACCTATGTCGACCATGCCGAACAAACTGAGGACTTCAAGTGGGGAAACAGCCTCGTGGAGTTTGGTCTATTATTGGTCCGGACATGGTTGTCTCTGTATCAAGTGAACCACGGTCCGCCAGCTATCCCGTGTGGGCAAAGCTATCCACTAACTATACAGCTAAACGTCCTCCATCCACGGGCAGGTTGACTCCGCTTACAAATGCAGCCTCATCGCTGGCCAAGTAGATCGCGGCCTTGGCAATATCATTGGGCTCCGACATCCTCCTCAGGGGCACGCTGAGCGCGAACTTGGCTCTCTCTTCGGGCGTATCAGGAACACCACTGAACATTTCCAGGAGCCCGGTCGCTCCTCGCAGGGGACATATGGAATTGACACGGACTCCTTCCGGCCCATATTCGGCCGCCAGACCCTGAGTGACCTGAATCGATGAGTGAGCTCACACAACACATACACACACATACACAAGCAAATATGCTCGCAAGGAGGGGTTTGGTTGCGGTAGACATACCGTGTTCAGGAAACCCTTAGTACCGCCGTAGAACACCTGACCCGGCCTCACACGGGTGCCGGCGACAGACGACGTATTGAGGTAGACACCGGACTTGCGCTCAACAAAGTAAGGCATGACGACCGACACGCTCAAGTAGATACTCTTGACGTTGACGGCGATGATCTTGTCGAACTCGGCATCCGTGACCTCCACGCTGGGCTTCTTCCGGTAGGTCGTACCGGCGTTGTTGACGACGATGTCGAGCTTGCCGAACTTGGCCTTGGCCAATTCGAGCGCTTTCTCCCAGTCGCCGCGCTGCGCCACGTTGACCTCGATGAAGACGGCTGAACCCCCACCGGCGTACTGCCTCTTGCCGATCTCGTCGACCACTCGCTCCCCATTGGAAACCGCAATGTCGGCGACGAGCACGTGCGCGCCCTCGGACACGAAGCCATGGGCGATGGCCTCCCCAAACCCAGACCCGGCGCCAGTGACGATGGCGACCTTGCCATCCAGACGACCCATGATTATTGCGATGGTCGATGTGTAAACGGGTTTCAGCTCGGTAAATTTGCAAGGGCTGCGAATGAATGATAATTAACGGTTATACAAACTCGTCTGTCTCACTTCAACAACCTACGCCGAGGACCGCAACAAATAGACATCGTCCCATCCTTTATCTTTTCTTTCGCCCACGATTCCCTACACGACTCTCTTCGGAAGTAAATGTGCTTTGTTGCGAGTTTCTCCACGTTGATCCACTTGTTGCACTAGCCTTTGATGCCTTCCCTGGCCGGCCTTCTAAGTGTGTCGGCAAACAACGAGTAGTAGCCGCTCGCAGGGCCGAATGCCGGAGCCGTAGCAAAATAGGTTAAAGCCCGGAGCGATTAATAAGACCGCTTGGGTGGGAACGCCGCCAATCCTAATCCGCCGACGTAATTTTCCCTCATTTTCTTCTTTCTCCAGTTGTCGGAGCGTCATAGTTGTCATGCCTGCGGGGGAAGCTCCGGAGCCCCAGGAAACCCCAGGTTTCCCCCCCAGATGCATGATTCCAATCCCTGTCTGTTGCGATATGTATAAACAACTGTTAGAGGCTGCTTGGCGTAAGTCATGGTAACTCTAGAGCTCGATACTAGTTCTCTCTAACGACTCAAGACAGCGAATCCGGAGCGATTCACCCAGCTGGTAGCTACATCCGGCGCCTCGCTCAGATCCGTCCTCTCTTCCTTCACGATGTACCCGCAAAAAATCCTGAAGGTCGTTTCGGCGGCCTCGTTGCTGCTAAACGCGCAGCCATCCACTGCCAACCCAAACTGCAAAATCGCCCACGTTGAAGGAGAGTACGCCTACCTGCTCCCCCTACCCTTTGAGGGCAACCTGACGCAGGACTTCGTCGGCGGCACAACCGTGCAGAACAAGACGGTGGCCTATGGCCTCGCCAACGCTCAGACATCGCCTTTCGTGTCTTACAGCAAGGAGTTTGACGACCTACTCGGCGCCGCCTCTCTCGTGGCGGCCGTGCCCGAGGCTCCCTTCCCATTCACGTGGGCCGGCGAGGCTGGAGTATGGGTGCCGGACCACGACCAGGTGTGGTTCGTCTCGACCCTATATGGCGGACCCACGGCGCTATACATACTCTTCCTGAACAACAACACCGTCATCAAGCCTGAGCTCAAGGCTACCGGCGGCTACGGCACCCATATCCCGCTGGCCAACCCCGCTGGCGGATACTATTTCAACGGCACCGTCTACTTGGCTTTGGTGGGAGATGAGCGTGAACCTAGTAGTCTGGTCGCTGTTGACCCGGATACGTTTGTTGTGACTCCGCTTGTCAACTCGTACTTTGGGTTGGAGTTGCCTCCTGTCGACGACGTGGTCGTCACGTATGCTAACACTAGCCAGGGCGTTCAGAGACACATTGTGAGCACGCACGCATTATTTGAACCCGAATAAGTTCTTTGCAGATGTCCTGACCAAATACGCGATCTCCTAGTATTTCTCGACGCTCGATCTCTCTGCCTTCGACCTGGATGTGGGCCGTCCCGCGGCAGTGCTGCCAAATGCCTTCTGGATGTTCACCCCAGAGACCAAAACACTGCAGCCCGTCATCCCCCGCGGGGATGTCATGACTCCCAACGGCGTCGCCGTCGACAAGGGCTTCCGGCATTTGTTTGTGACCGATACAACGGTATGGTCCCCTTCCAAAGATCTTCATTCCTCCTCAATCACTGTGAACGAACCGAACCATTCTAATGTTTTGCTGCGCTCCCTCTCTCAGGCCACTGCTGCAGTCGGTGGAGGGTCAAAGTGGAATGTGACAGGCTCCCCAGCCATCTACCGGTATGACATCTCGCCCGAGGACGGCCTAGTCTCGAACAGGGTCCTCTTCGGCATCACCCGCGAGGGAGTGTCGGACGGTATGAAGGTCGATGACCAGGGCCGTGTATGGACGGCCGAATACGAGGGTATTGTGGTGCGAAACTCAGTTGGGAAGGTAATTGGGCTGTTCAATAAGGAGGTCATACTGGGCAGCAGGAACCCTGAAGTGGAGATGGCCAACTTCGCCCTCGCAGGTGATACTCTGGTGCTCCTGGCTGTGGACAAGGTGTACACGGTCAAGCTGGCTGAAACTGTCATGAGCGCAGATCGATTCTTCTTGCCGGAATAGTCGGGTTGGTCTGGGAGAAGCCTCCTCCTCGATGACATCTGATACGTCTTGTCATAATCAGGATGTAAATAGCATAATTATGTCCTCTGGTCTTCTGCTTCGGAACCCTACTTGACTGAACTCGGACCGTCCGATCCCTTAAGATAACTTCTTCTTCACGGGCTGCTCCATCACCGTTTCTACATCTAGCGTTAATTACACGATGGGTGTTTAAAATCCTTTTACTGAACAGCCATTCTCGAGCAAGGCTTGGGTGCCACCTTTGAAAGGAGTGAGCTCTAGTACTTGGAGTAATTACGTTCACACTGAGTCGACCGAGTCAATGCCGTTAATCATCAACCATACAGATGTCGCATCTCGATCCTTTTAGATGTGTTGGTTAGCCCCGTGTAACGGGAGGGAGCCAAAAGAATCATCGACCTAGACTCACCTTGCAACGAGGATCCTCCATCGCCTTCTTGAATGTCCCCAGCGCCGTCTGCGCCATGGTTGCATCGATGCCCGTCTGTTCACCGGCCTCTACCGCCAAGCTCAAGTCCTTGACCATCATCAGCGGCCGGAATCCAGCCTTGAAGCCGTTACTGCTGGGCAGGTGGGGGATGACACCCGGACATGGCTGGAAGTTGTGGAAGGTGGCGGAATTGCCTCCAGAGTTCTTGATGCAGTTAAAAAGAGTGTGCTTGTCGACCCCCAGGCGGATCCCAATCGACATGGCCTCTGCTATCGAGAGCATGTTGCAGAAAGAGAGATAGTTGTTGCAGATCTTGGCCGCCAGGCCGTTGCCCAAGTCTCCGCAGAAGACGATCTTCTCTGGATTGGCCATCATCTTCACAACTGAATCGATGCGCTCCGCCATGGCTGCATCATCTTTGGAATGTCCGATCAGGAAAGACAGCGTTCCGTTCTTTGCGCCGATAGCACCGCCCTGAGCGACGTGTCAATTATTATTTCGAAACGGTCAACGGTCTTGCCAGCCCAGCCCACTAGAAAGCAGAGAATAATGTGTGACTTACCGAGACAGGTGCATCGAAATAGTTGCCAATGCCCGCTTGCCTAATCTGCTGCCCCGTTTCCCTCGTGGTCTGGACGTCAATAGTGCTGCATTCCAGGATCAGTCGGTCTGCTTTGATAGCGTTTATCACAGCACCGGTGGCCTCAAGGTACACCTCTCGCACATTGGCTCCTCGCGGCACCATTGTGACGAGAGTGCTGCTATGGTCTGCCCCCTCCTTGGGCGTTTCGACAATCTGAATGCGGCCAAACTGCTTGAACTCCTCCACGAATCTGTCGCAGGCGTCACGGACGACATCGTGGATGAACAATGTGCCGGATGGAGGCATCTTCTGGCGCACATTGCCCGCCATGCCATAACCCATGGCTCCAAGGCCTGCTAGTTTGTCAGATTCATAGTCCGCGTGGAAACAACCGCGCCACGGGTAGCGCTCACCGATAAAAGTGATATTGTGCTCCTCCATTGTTCGGTGACACGATGCTTTAGCGTACAGTGGCGAGAGGGTTCATGGCCTAAACCCAACGCAGTCGTCTGGCTCAGACTGGGATGTGGAGATGGCGGGTAATTATTATTAATTAGCTAGCTGTTCCTCGAATTATTGTTCCAGGCTCAACTTTTGCACTGGACGTTTTAAAGCCTCCGCAAGCCCGAGATTGCACCGGGTCAGTGTATTATTCTAGCTTCAATTTTTCGGCAATCCCTCGCGGGGAGGGGGGAGGTTAGGGGGAGGGAGGGAGCGAGACTTTCTTTGTAACTATAGAAACCCGGCTGTGTGGCCATTGGTCCGATTGACCTACACATCGGTAAACTCCAGCTTGGTTCGCTCTCGGCTTCAACTCTGGGGAAGCTGTGGGGTAACACCGGAGACTTCTTCTCCGCATTTCCTTACCCCAGCTTCTCCACGAACTCCACGTTTAGAAGTCTAGCCCCTGTAACCCCCGTCCTTAGAAATAAAGCAGAAGGCAGTCGCCCAGAGGTCATCGATGGTCCGTCCAGAGACAAGAGAGTCTCCCAAGCGTCACGACCATGGCTCTCAAAGTAAAGGCAAATCGTTATAACTTCCTGATTGCGTCCTTTGTAACGCTGGGCTCCTTCACGTACGGCTACAATTCTTCCGTCACTGCCGGCGTCGTTGGTCTCCCATCATTCTTCAAGTACTTCGGTATTGATACCACGACGAGCACTGGAAACTCTATCTTTGGCGGTTAGTCTTGGCACCTTCTTCACCCAGATTCATACTGATTGCCACATTTGAACTTCCCCTATAATAAATACTGACCCTTCCGTGCTTTCACAAGCCATCAATGGCATCTTTCTCGCGGGTGGTGCCTGCGGCTGTTGGACTTTGGCTTGGCTGGCCGACTCCATCGGTCGTCGTCGTACCCTGCAGGTCGTCTCCGCCATATGTGTCGTATCAGCAGCCATCCAATGTGGTTCCGTCCACGTGGCCATGTTCCTCGTCGGCAGACTGCTCAACGGGTTCGGCGTAGGCTTGATGACTTGTCTGGTCCCTCTGTATCAGTCGGAAACCTCGCCGCCCGCGCAGAGAGGGCGTCTAGTCGGCCTTCACGGTTTCATCCTTGTGGCGGGATACGTAAGTAAAGAGATCGCTTCCCTAGGTACTCGACTAGGAGCGCGCAAGCTAATCTTACGATTCTAGAGCTGCGGCGGTTGGACATCATACGGGGCTTATTTCGCAACCAATCTCTCACTCCAGTGGCGTCTGCCTCTTGCGATCCAGATAATCGCTCCGCTGTTGCTTCTCTGCGGGAGTTTCTGGCTTCCGGAGTCCCCTCGTTGGCTGATTGGCCATAATCAGGATGCCAAGGGTAAGTTGGATTGATCATCTCTTTGGTGAATCTGACGACTGACGTTACCTAGGCATGGAAGTCCTCGAGCACTTGCACCGAACCCCGGAAGATCCCGATGCGACCGGGGCGCACGATGAGTACCGACAAATCCAGGCTCAGGTAGAGCTCGAAAAGGAGCAGAAGCTGGACACTCTCGTTAAATGCCTCATGCATCCTGGCACGCGGAAGCGCATGATTTATGGCTTCCTCTTGCAGTGGCTGCTTCAGAGCACTGGGGTTCTGGTCGTCTTCAACTATCAAGTAATTAATTGCTCACACTCCACAGGACGACAGTCTCTAGAAAGTCCAAACGCATGCGGATGGCTGACAACTTCTTCTACTCCTCCTAGACTGTCCTCTATGCCAACCTTGGCGTTACAGGATCACACCCAATTCTTCTCCTATCTCTTTACAACCTGGTAGCGGCCTTCTTCAACTGGGTCAACTCTAGAATACTCGATAGGTTTGGACGTATTCGCATCATGAGTGTTGGGATAGTAAGTGTTCTCCTTTCGGATTACGCGGTCGGCGCTAACACCAGTGCAAAGGTTGGGTGCATCATTAATCTCAGCATCTACACCGCCCTGGTTGCCGAGTTTGCAGACTCTACCAACCGAGTCGGAAATGGCTTTGCCATCTTGTGTCTCTTCCTCTTTGCCGTCTTTTATGGCGGATGTCTCGACGCCTCCAGCTACGTGTACTGCTCCGAGATTTTCTCTAATGCGGTCCGCGCGCATGGGATGGGATTCTCGATCAGTGGCCTGTTCCTATCCAATATCCGTGAGTTCCCACTCCTTCCCATTTCCCTCGAGTTTGCCCCCCCCCCCCCCAAAAGCTGACTCGGTGTTATAGTTTACACCCAGACCGCACCAACAGCATTCAGCGCGGTTGGATGGAAATATTTCTTGGTGTTCATCATAGTGCCTGCCGCGGGACTTTACCCATTTCTCAGGTTCTATCCCGAGACGAACCAGCTCTCCCTGGAAGAGGTATGTGTTTCCAATCTACATAACGGCTTATTGCCAGGTTCACATCTGACAGAGCTTTAGGTTGCCGGCATCTTCGGAGACGAGACTTTCCTCAGTGACAAGCACGAATCCGAACATCATGAGACTGGGAAAGAGGCAGTTGGTGCCTAAAAGGAGAAGGGCGAATGGACAGATAATTTTGTTGTGTTCGCAAGACTGTGTTAAGGAGCTTCCTTGCACGTCAAAGTCCCTGGGTGAGTAGAAGGCCATCAGAGATAGGTTGTACGCGCTATTAGGGCGTGATAGACTTCAATCCTTGGTCTGGTAAATACATGTAGCGCACAAGCAATACACGTTGAAACATTAGATTGGTATTTCGTCTTGCCGAGAACAAACGGGTTCAACCATTTGGCTGTAAGTTTCGCCTTCAGGTACCCTGTAAGGCCTTCTTAGATACCGTCCTCTTGTTCATTTAAGCCAACTAGTGATATCTGATGTAGAACGTTCCCAATTGTGTAGCCACGACCTTGTTGGGGGGGGGGGGGGGGGGGGGTGGGGAGTCGTGGTTTTTTGGCGAGTAATTATAAGGAAGCCTGTATAGGCAAAAAAAAAACCGAGCACAAAGCGGCAGTGTTACCCACCACCACCTCATAA